TGAGTATCCACATCATAACTCCCCTTCTAGAGGTGTGATTCAAGAACAACATGTAAGTATTAGTGAAGGGATCACTCATACTGGCTCCAAAAACACAAATGCCCAACTCCTTTCTTGTAGGATGAATTTCATCTAGATAATGAGTCACAGTCTTTCTTGTCCCTATGTGAATGTGTCACTTTCCCACATCTCAAATCTCTGATTACCTTCTTTCTGTGTCTGGAAGTCTGACATAATATAGTGTATTATTGGTAATTCCTAATTCTATGCCATCCCCAGTACGTACCAGCGTCCTCTGCACAGTGACTACAATATTCTGCCCTTGTGGTATTTGTCGATGGCCTGCTCTCTAACCACTGGCTTCTTCTTCTGTTGGTTTTTCCTGCCTTCTTACATCCCAAACTTACCCCTGCCTCCTTTTCCTCAGATATACTATAAATCTACAGTTTACACCTCTAGTGATTTCTGTGCCTTTAGGTCTCAAATAGTTTTCTGGAATCATATTTCTACTGAGTACTTCTCAGATGTGTTCAGTTTATTAAGCAAGCTTTTGTGGGCTTTGTGATCCTGATGGAATAGGTGTGAGGACCAAGCATGTTAAAATATAATTAAAAGGTAGGAAGTAGCAATCATGGCTCTTATAGAAATATAAAGTATGGACATGGAAAAGATTAATTAATGTGGAAATGAGTATGATATTACAAATGAGATCCAGGTATAGTGGTCCATGCCTGTAATCCCAGGTATTCAAGTGACTGAAGAAAGAATCTCATGAGGTCAGGGACGGTTTGAACAACATAATGAGATTGTCTAATAAACAGAAATGTTGATACAAAAATTGTTCAAAGGAGAACTCAGAGAATTTGTTTAGGCAATAAGGAATGTTGAAATGAATGTTCAAATAGATGCAAAATGATTCAAGAATTAATTGCATTCTACCAGACAAATCATTTGCATTTCTGTGGACAACATTCATTTGCATTATTATTAGGATTTTTTTTATAATTTACAGTTATAAAATAACTCAAAGTCAATGAGAAGTGGAAATAACCCAGAAAGTTATTCTAAAAATGACACACAGTAAATTTTTTCAGTTGATTTTTAAATCTCTCATAATGTTTCACAGAAAGTAAATGGTATTTTCTTATGCTAAGGGAAACTGACATCCAATTACAATTAGCAAAAACTCTCTCTGTGAATTTGGAATAGAGATTTTTGCATGCGATGACCAACACAGGTGTTTTCCTTGTCTCTAATTCTTGATAAGAGATGACAGACTTTTTCCTTGTAGAGAATTGCTACTCAAAAGTATGGTTTTTATATATATTTTGATATATAGATAGATTATATATAATTATATATATTATAATATATGATATATAAATATTATATATTAGATTATATTTATATATTAATATATAATTAATATACATTAGTATATATTATACTTAGTATAATATATGTTTCTAAGTAATATATACTTAATATAATATATATTACTTAGAATATATTACTTAGAGTATATATCTTAGAATATATTAGTTAGAATAACTTAGAAAATAGACTCCTGACTAAAAATTAAATAAATATAAGGGATCCAGGACCTAAATTAATTAAAAGATAGCCTATATTTATGTATCAAAATATTAATATAATGATATCAATAATCTCAAATCATCACCAGCAGAGTCAATACAATCTGCAGCAAAATCTCACCTGGTCCTTCTGAAGAAATTATTTTAAAGGTCACAAGGAAATTCAAAAAACTAAGAAATCCTAAAAGAAAGATACAGTTGAAAGAGTCACACTTTTCTTTTTAAAACAATTGCTATAAAGCTATAGTAAACAGTGTTCTAGTGTTTAGACATACATTTAACCATAGGTTTAGAGAACAGAATTGAGAATCTAGAAATATGATTGATTGCTCCCTCCTCAGGATAATAGCAAGACCACACAGAAGAGAAAGAACAGTCTTCCCAATAAATGTTGCTTTGAACAACTGAGTATTCACATCTAAAAGAATGGAACTGAGGGCTAGAGAGATGGCCCAGTGATTCAGGGCATGTATTTTTCCTGTAGAGGACAAAAGTTTGATTCCCAGAACTCACATCAAATGACTCAATTCTTTCTCGTGTGTGTGTGTGTGTGTGTGTGTGTGTGTGTGTGTGTGTGTGTATGTGTAAAACTTTTTACAGTCCAGTTGTTGCTCCCCTCCCAGTCCACCCTCTCTCACAGTTCCTCATCCCATCCATCTTCCCCCCTTCCTCCAAGAGGATGCCCCTCCCACCTTGCCAGGCCTCCTTACTCCCTGGGGCCTCAAATTTCTCTAGAGTTAGACAAGTCTTCTCCCACTGAGGACAGACCAAGCAGTCCTCTACTGTTTATGTGTCCAGGGCCTTGGACCAGCTCATGTATACTGGCTGCTTGGTTGGTGGCTCAGTGTCTGAGAGATCTCAGGGGTCTAGGTTAGTTGAGACTTCCTATGGAGTTGCCCTCCTCAGCTTCTTCCAGGCTTTCCCTAATTCAACCACAGGGGTCAGCAGCTTCTGTCCATTGGTTGGGTGTAAGTGTCTGCATCTGACTCTGTCAGCTGCTTGATGGGTCTTTCGGAGGGCAGTCATAATAGGTCCCTTTATGTGAACATTCCATAGCCTCAGTAATATTGTCAGGTCTTGGGGCCTCCCCTTGAGATGGATCCCATGTTGGGCCAGTCACTAGATTGCCTTTCTCCCAGTCTCTTCTCCATTTTTGTCCCTGCAATTATTTTAGATAGGAACAATTCTGAGTCAGAATTTTTGACTGTGGGATGGCAACCCTAACCCTCCATTTGATGCCCTGTCTTTCTACTGAATCTAATAGAAGAAAAAATGGGAAAGAGCCTCAAACTCATTGGCTGGGGGGGGGGGGAGGTGGTATTTCCTAAACAGAACTCCAATAGCTCAGGTCATTGTCAATAGGATAAATTGACAACCTACAGATTGGGGGAAATTTTTTCACAAACCCCACATTTGATAAAGGGCTAAATTCAAAATATATAAAGAATTTCCAAAGATAATCTCCAAAAAATAACCAAACAACCCAAACAAAATATGAGGTATAGATCTAAGCAGTGAATTCACAAGAGAGGATTCTTGAATGGCTGAGAAGCACCTAAAGAAATGGTAAAGTCCTTAGTCATCTAGGAAATGCAAATCAAACGACCCTGAGATTCCACCTTACAGCAATCAGAATGGCTAAGATCAAAGACTTCTAGTGACAGCACATGTTGTTGAGGCTGTGGAGAAAGAGCAACACTCTTCCGTTGCTGGTAGGATTGCAAACTTTCTGTAATTCTAGCTCCAGGGTATCTGATGCCTTCTTTTGGTCTCTTTGGGCACCTCCTCTACAGACACACAGATAAAAATATTTTTTAAAATGAAATTGCTCCTTAATTGGTATGATGTACAAAACCCAACCAAACAACCAAACAAAAAACACCAATAATTTAAATATAAATTTGATACTAAGTGTCACTTAAGTAATATACTTAAAAGAAAAATCTAGATATAAACCTTTGTATTTCTAAGTTAGGCAGTGGTTTCTTAAAACACTAAAAGCACAAACTGTGAAAGAAAAACTCCATTAATTGTACATGAAAATTAAGAAATTTTAAATTTCAGAAGCCCACTCAGAAAGTAAAAAGACGATAATACACTGAATGGGGGAAAGTATTTGTAAATCATATGACTGAATAAGGGCCTTTATCCATAATTATACAAAACAGTTATACCCCAACAGTAAAAAGACAATTCATTTTTAAAAATAAGCAAAGGACTTGAATCTGTGTAACTCCAACATGGCTACCTTACCTGACGTCAATGAAAGAGAATGTACCTAGCCCTGAAAAGAATCGAAATGCCAGGAGTGGGGATACTCAGTGGGTCTTCCTCCCTCTCAGAGGAGAAGGGAAGGGGCATGGGGGAAGGGGCAGTGGGAGGGGGGGATCTGGGAGGGACACTATCCGGGGTTCTAGAACATTTTGTTGTTGTTGTTGTTGTTGTTAAATTTGTTCTAGGTTTCTAAAGATTTATTTTAAATTGTTTTAAAAGTGTGTGTCTGTGTGTGGAGTGGTGTGGTGAGGGAGGTGTTATCAGAAGACAGCTGGTGACTTCAGCAGACAGAAGTGTCAAATGCCTCTAGAGCTAGAGTTACAGACGCCCCTGAGCTGTCTGACTGGTTGGAGCCAGACTCTGAGCCCCTGAGCTGTCTGACTGGTTGGAGCCAGACTCTGATCCTCGGTGAGAGGAGTTTGCGGTTTTAATAGCTGAGTCATCTCTTTAGCCCTTGGATTTTATGGTTTTTTAAAAATTTATTTTACTGTACATTTTATTTATTATTGTGTATATGTGTGTACAGGCTTGGGCATGTCACTGCACAAATGAGATCACAGGACAGATGTTGAGTATCACTTCTCTGCTTCCACAAGTTCTGGGGACCGAACTCAGTGCCCCTATTTGTTCAGAAATACGAGGTGTGTTGATCTCTCCCTAGGAGGGATCATTACTATAGATATTGAAGTCATAGGCCAAGGCAACTAAATCTTCACAATACAAAATAATGACATCACAGAGGGAAAAAAAAACTACTTTAACGGAACAATCATGATTAAGTGATACTCAACTTCCTTAAAGTAGCCAACCATCCACACAATTTAATAGGAACAAACAAACAAATAAACAAAACTTGGGTGTTTATTCACAAATTTAAAAGATATTATAGAGTTAGGATGGTCTGTATAATGCCTTCCAGGTTGCTGTGGAACACTGTCCTCTTATTTTGTTCCTCAACCTTTGACCTGGTTCAACCGCCTCGGGCACTTACCGCCTTGCCATTGCTGTCTCTGGTGCTGTCTTCCCCCACTTGTTGGGCGGTTACTGCTTCGGTCTCCGCCTCAGAACCTGACTGGCCAGAGCCAGGAGCTGATATTCTCTGACTCCCAGATACTCCTCCCTCTCCAGAAGTGACTGAGACTCCTGCCGCCACTTTCGCCACTTTCGCCAGCTCCTCAGCTCACAAAAGGTCAGGCGCTGCCTTCCTGCTTCAGCCGACTTTGTACTGCCATGGCCGCTTCTGTTTCACAGCTTGAACAGACTTACCTGTCGGAGTCTAATGCTGCCCTCAACTCTCAGATCCAGTTGCAGCTGTATGGCAGTTACATCTACCTCTCCATGGCCTCGTTCTGCAATAAAGAGGAGGTGGCCCTGGGGTCGTTCGCGCTCTTCTTCCTGCGTCAGTCCCAGAAGTGGATGGAACGCACCGAGATGATCTTCAACCTGCTGACCGAGCGCCAGGGCTCCCTAACCCTCGGGAGAATTGCCAATCAAGACCGCCAGGACTGGCTGGATGGCCTCATGGCCATGGAGTGCGCTTTCCATCTGGAGAAGACAATCAACCAGAGCCTTCTGCAGCTGTACAACCTGGCTAGCAACAAAGGCGACCTCTACCTGTGCAACTTCTTGAAGTGCCATTTTCTGCCACAGCAGGTAGAAATCCTCAAGGAGATGGGTGGCTACTTGACCAACCTTCGCCGGCTGGGGGCTCCAGAAAATAACAACGCCGAGAAGCTCTTCGACCAACTCACCATGGCAAACAGCATCAAGGAGAACTGAAGTGGGACTATCCCCGCTAAGGGTGGGGTCTTCCTCAGCTCTTCAGGCAAGATGCTCACATTATATTTCTAGAAACTTCCCTAGTCTTTCTGTTTGGCATTCTATGCAATAAATTTGTTTCTAAGCAGAATAACCGTTTCCGTTGAGTCATATGTGTAAAATTCTCACCTTTAAAGAATGAAGACAGATTCCCTTGCAGGTCTAAAATGAGTATCCAGGTGTCTCTTCACACACCCAAGCCGGGTCTCCTTGCAGCTGAGAGCTCAAGTAGGTGGAAGGGAAAGGATATTTACAAGTCCTGAGAAAAGGACCAAATTAGCCTTTTCTTAAGAACAGTGTGAGCTTGGGGTGGGGGTGGGGTGGGGCGAGGTGGGGGCGAGGTGGGGTAGAGTGGAATGAGTGGCCTGTATGTAGCACTGGGGTCTAAGCATGGGGAGAGTGCAAATGTGTGGTAAAAGTTTAAACACATGGATGAAGTCAAGTAAATGTAATTGGTAGGGATGAAACGGTGGTCTAAGGCCTCTTGAGCTGGAGTTTCAGAGGCCCCTGAGCTGCCTGGCTGGGTGGAGCCAGACTTGGGTCCTCAGCAAGAGCAGTTTGTGGTTTTAATAGCTGAGCCATCTCTTTAGCCTCTGGATTTTATTTTTCTGTTTTTACTATTTTATTGTATGTTTTATTTTATTTTATTTATTATTATGTGTATGTATGTTACAGGCTCAGGCATGTCAGTGCACATATCACACATAACTTCTTTATTATTTATTCTCAGTTAAAAAACAATCAGTTCTCAATCTGGAGGTTGAAAGACCCTTTCTCAGGGATCAAATGTCAGATAATCTGCATATCAGATATTTACATTATGAATCATAACAGTAGCAAATGACAGTTATGAAGTAGCAATAAAAATAATTTTATGGTGGGTGAGGACACATCCTGACAGAAGTAGGAGGAGGGGGGATGGGATAATGGGTTCCTGGGTGTGTGGGGGGAATGGAAAAAGGGGATTACATCTGAAATGTAAATAAAATATCAAATAAAAAATAATAATTTTATGGTTGGGGTTCAGAGGGTCACAGCATTAGGAAGGTTGAGGGCAACGGGATTAAAATAAAGACTTCCACTTTACGTAAAGCCCATGATTTTATTAAAATATGCAAATATTAGCTTTTGCTACTTTCAGGTAACACAGTGAGCCAGCCTGTATGGCAGAATGCTTGTGACAGGCTTCCTCTGGGCAATGGTGATAAGAGGCAGCCAAAGTTAGAATAAGCTCTCCATAACCACGCGGTTAACAAACGGAAATAAGAGCAGTGTAACTTTGCAGCTCCAAGAGCTTTTATTTATATTATTTATATTTTACTCCTATAAGAATCTCAGGAAGTGCCTGGCAGTGGTGGCACATGCCTTTAATCCCAGCACTTGGGAGGCAGAGGCAGGCGGATTTCTGAGTTCGAGGCCAGCCTGATCTACAGAGTGAGTTCCAGGACAGCCAGGGCTACACAGAGAAACCTTGTCTCGAAAAAAACAAAACAAAACAAAACAAAAAAATCTAAAAGGAGGCTACAAGGGAAGTTATAGAATCGGAACAAAAACATACTTCTGATCCAGTGTGATGTTTTCTTGTTGTTATCTCTGGGTATCAATGAGTTAAAAAGGAGTGTGTGGGTAAACTGGGAATTCAGCCAGATCACCAGCCCCCAAAGGAAGGGAAATCCCCCAAACTGGTAAAGGTAACCTTACTCACTGTAGCCTTTCCCTTAATTACAGGTTTGCCTTCCAGCCTAGGGAAGAGATGACTTTTAAACATCAGCCAAGGAAAGAGACTGTCTGAGAATCAGTAAGGTACCACCCAGGAAGGCAGTCAGTTCTCTCTTTAAACTCCCTTCCCCAATACAGGCCATAACCTGAGTTGCCTTGGTTGCCTGGGAAGATCAGAGGGTTGGAAATCCCCAGAATGAACTATCATCCAGATGTCTTCATTGGGAGTAGCTTCTCTTCAAGCACAATAAATAAGGGATGGCTGCAAGACACACATGTGCTTTACCTGCCACCCTAGCTTATCTCAAAGCCCTCAGAGAGAAACCTGCATATTTGCTGGACGCAGCGCACTGGAATTTGTGTGCTAAATTGTTATCTGTGGTCTAGTCACAGGGATCTGCAGCTCACTCCAAACTCGCCTGACAGGTCTCCCCACTTTGTCCTCCTGTCTCTCTCTCTCTCCTTCTTGTGATTGACTTTCCAGGAAAATCAAGAGACACCATTAAGAATGCTAGGCTTTGATTTTACCTGGAAAAGTAGTATTTCCTCATGTGCAGGACTCAAAAGATAACAGTGATCAGACTCCAGTGCTCATTACAAGTCACTGTTGGTCAGGTCACATTTTGTAGCTTAAAAAAAAAAAAATCCCTGACAGGGAAATCTTGGCACAGGAGCAACTCAATTGTTTCTTTTAAAAAGAGTTCCTATTTCATCTTTAATTATGTATATGCGTGTGTGTATATATGCGTGTGGGTGTTTAGAAGGGCCAGAAAACAGTGGCCTACCCTCTGCAGCTGAACTAGCAGATAGTTGCGTAATAACAGACACAGGGGTGCTGGGAGACGACCAGATTCTCTGCCTGAGCAGGGTGTACTCTTCACCACCGAGCCAGCTGTCTCTCTAGAGTCCAGCCCCACTGATTTTATCTTTATTCTGCTGCCCTTTGACTCAGTTTTGACAGTCACAAACAGGCTCTGGAATATGTGAGACTGTAATGAAAATGAATAGGAAACTTTCAGCCTGCTGAAATAAGCTCCATTTTATTTTCTAATGTCTAGTCTTCGCCCATTACTGAGACTTTCCTTGTTTTCCCGTGCTGCCAACACACCTGACAGAAAGGTAGAGGTAAACTTCTTCTAGATGTGCCACTCTCTCCATGCCTTGATAACTGAACTTTAAATACTTAGTAAAAAGATATGACTTGTTCTTTGAGCCCTGGAACTTACCACCCCGTGACACATAGCTAGATGATAGTCAGTCACTGACCATGCTCTGTTGCTTTAGGGGAATGATATCTGAAACAGTGGCCATTTCTATCAGTACCAGAATCTCAGGAAATGATCATATCAGGACACACTAGGGGAAAATGATAAAATTGATACTTCATTTCTGGCTCAAACTCAAATTCAAATGAACTGCGATGAATAATTTACCTCTGGGAGGAAAATCTTCACTGTATCACAGAAGGAAATTTCTTAATAGATGGCTGTCACCAACAACTTATATTTCATTTTCTAGAAAAAGGAAAAGTACTTTTTCTTCATCAATGTGTGACAAGCAGTACAAAGTACTCTTTAATTTCTCCCAAATCTTTTCTAGTCTAGAAATTTACTCTACATTTCTGATTTTTATATTTGACTTTATTTTTAATCATCTACCACCAATTCTAGTTTCCTTTCACAAGCCCAAAAAAATATGTCTAACTAAATTGCTGGTAGAGGAAGGCCTTATCAGGCATACTGGAAATTTATAAGGCTTTATACTTTAGAATTCTGTTTTAAACAAAGCATTATATGTGCATATGCACACGTATGCTTGCCTTCATGTGCAAGTGCTGTGTGGCCTTTGAGTTGTGCTTCAGGGCCATATTGATGAAGAATCTGTTTCAGACAACCCAGAATGAAGGGTGGGGTCTGGAGGATTGTATTAGAAACTATTATTTAAAAGGTACAGAGGAGGATTCACTAGGCCATGAAGGGAGTGGGGTGAGGTATGATGAAGAAGGAAAGATAATAGCAGCAGAATTTTCAAACTCTTGTTTCAGTTTGGACTGAGTTAGGTTATAAGTCATAAAACAAGTTTGAAAAAGACAGCTTTCTCTTCCATAAGGGGAAATGAATGTGAAGGAAACTGGGTCGGGGTGCTGTGGGACTTTCTGTCACATTTCACTAATTCCAAGAGGCACTTTCCCCCTCTCATATACTTCAATCATATCTTTGAAATAGGAGTGTTTAGTATCCTACCATTATTGTTACTGTGGTTGTCAGTGCCTGAGCATGTGCTTCAAGCTTTAACAGTGGCCCCATTGACTGAAAAACCCTGCAGAAATTGAGGAAAACTCTTAAGAAATAGCATCACAGCACCGTGATTGATGGCCTAGAGGAGGCCATTCAGATTCTAAGTATAAAACTGATTTGAAAGAAATTTTTATCTGAAGAAGTTCTAATAGTACTTTAAACTATCAGTTATGCTATTTGTTTATTTTAATAATACTTTATACTTATTTATTATTTATGTCTCTTTTATGTATATGTCAAAATGATATAATGATAAAAGTTGCACCAATATAAGTGTAAAGAAATCTTTCTGAAGACATACATTGAAAAAGAACTAAGGGCTGGAGAGATGGCTCAGCGGTTAAGAGCACTGACTGCTCTTCCAGAGGTCCTGAGTTCAAATCCCAGCAACCACATGGTGGCTCACAACCATCCGTAATGAGATTGGATGCCCTCTTCTGGTGTGTCTGAAGACAGCTACAGTGTACTCATCAAGAAAATAAATAAATAAATAAATAAATAAATAAATAAATATTTAAAAAAAAGAAAAAGAACTAAGAAATATATGAGGTAAGACAACATTGTGCCTGAATTTAATTAGTGACATTGTTTAATATTTTCTCAGACATAAAATGATAGTCTGCTTTAAAATCATCTTGCCCAGCAGTGGTGTCATATACCTTTAATCTCAGCACTTGGGAGGCAGAGACAGGCAGATTTCTGAGTTCGAGGCCAGCCTTGTCTACAGAGTGAGTTTCAGGACAGCCAGGGCTATACAGAGAAACTCTATCTGGAAAAACAAAACAAACAAAACAAAACCCAACAACAATAAAGTGATCTTGCTTCCTTTGATAACATATTCCACTATGCTTGTTCCACTGTTAAGAGCATACAGACCTAAAAGTATTTCATGGTCCAATATAGCTACTCTAAGCCCACACATTACATTATTGTTCCAGAAGTGATCAGGATGTTTGTTTGGAGGAAGGAAAAGATTAGAAATCTAAATAAAATAAATGGAGAATTGAACCTTGAAATAAAATTGTAGGGGAAGGGGGGTTACTGTGATCTCTGATGACTGAGGAGAGCATTG